AATCTCCTTTTGTGTTCATCAGACATGTTCACACAATGATGAATGCATCCATTTGAATACTTTTATAAACATGTGGATATCCTGCAATAGTTTAGCGCACTGAAAGCACACGCCAGAGAGATAGAAATTTGGACAGAAATTACGACCACCCTCCGGACCTCATTGAGCGCAAATTTTCAGTGCAAATCCATACGCACAGTTAAGGAAACCGTGCCCACATATTGACCTGCAAGCACGGGCTCCTTACAACACAACAACACTCCTGCTTTAAAAAAGTTTCACTTGCGTCTCCATTATCACAACAAGTGATAGGACGATTCTTATCAAGACGCAGCAAAACCCAGAGAGAGCAGAATCGGCCAACTTCACTATAAAGTCCTGTAGACTAAAGTTGGATAGCGATGAAAATAAGAGACACACTTGCAGCTTTCAAATCCAAAGAAACCTGTGATGAAAAGCTGTCCCAGCTCTTTATGCTGCAATGAAAGGAAAGGTGGAAGATGTACTCTAGCTAGTACATAGAGTTGTACTGACCGGCAATGGGGGACTACCCCGGCTCTGGAGTCCTACGGGACAATCACTGCCAATTTTATTGACGAGATAACTCAGGAGTTGTAAGAGCATGGAGTAATTAAAGCTCACTGAAAAAGATCACCCAGTGTGAGTGTAGGCCCTGGGTAGCCGGCCCCAATCACAAAGACAAGTTACTCCAACACTTTCAGTTGACGACTACATTCCTTTGGACACAACCACGAACAAAGTACACAACTTGACATGATTTATAAATCAAAATTAACCATTTGTGAATAATTTTAAGATGTGATTGTGGTTTCAGAGCTTTCAGCATCAGATACAACCAATTTGAGTGTTGCTAAATAAAACTCCCCTGTACAGTCATTGTATTGAACCCACTGACCAGGACCAGACTGGTTTGCAAATTTGACAAGATGTATCAGCTAGAACAAATGAAAGGTTGCAGCTTGCAGATTTTTCACCATCCAATCTAGTTCCTACAGCAAAGGGCAAGATACATTCAACATACGGGTTGAAAACATCAGCGGGAGCCCTTTCACAACAGCAGCAGCAGACATACAAAATAATTACATTAATATTATGATACCAGATGATTTGCCCACATGGCTAGATCGGAGGAGTTAGAGGAAAATCATATCCCTTTGAACTCATCATAAAAGACTAAGGGGAAAACTGGTATTTCTAAAATGAGGGCACTGCTCCTGTAGGCAGAAGCCCTTCACTTGCATTAATTTGCTATTTTTTGCATGCGGCCTGAAACGTTTTGATGAGCTCTCTAGGGTCTGCCGTCAGCCTCACTATGGCAGTGCTTACCACTTCAATCTGTAGTACTTTTCCACCATCAGAGAGCTGTGCGTGCCTGTACGTAATGTGTGGCTGCCAGTGTGTTGGTTGTGCAGGGGGCATGGTTCAAAATCATCTTCAAACAGTCGCTTTGTGCAGAACACGCTGCGTCAAATGAGACTGGATCAGAGCCTCAAAAACAAGAGAAAACAGGAAACTAAGAGTTTTTAAGGGGAAAATGTGTGCAATCATGTCATTCTACCTGCCACTCAACTGTTCCCTCACCAGGACATTGTGTTGATGAGTATGCCCAGAGTGAGTGTGTAAGGGAAAGACAGACACGCACACGCGCGCACGCACACACACGCGCACGCACACACGCGCGCGCACACACACACACACACACACACACACACACACACACACACACACACACACACACACACACACACACACACAAATCACTCAGCATTACAGTAAGGAAAATATATAATTATCCTATTTTTCCAAATGAAGTTTAAATCTCTGAATTGACTGGATGTTTTGTTTTGAGATAATGCTGATTGCTTAGTCGTTACTTTTTCACTTTCACACTAAAGCTAGGGCATAGGTCTCTGGGAAGGGGGTGGGCATTGGTACACAGTAGGCCCAGACCTATATGGGGTTTTTAGGGCCAACACCGATATCGATATTGGGGAGGAAAAAAAATTCTGATACCGATATATCGGCTGATATCTTTCTTGGATCTATGTTTGATCTGTAGAGATAGATATGGATATACACATTTATTATGTTGATCCTCAAATGCAGTTATCAAACACTTGTGGAAAAATTATATGATGAAGAAAAAACGGTCACTCAACTGAAAAGGAACTGCGCACGGATGCGCATCAATCACGCTTGACTGAGAGTGATAATGCTTGTGATAATGCTTGTTGTAATCCATATAGTACACTCTGCAAGTGCAAAAGAACTGCAAGTGTAATACAATGAAACGCAATTGAAAAGCTATTTGACTGGTAAACGAATCAAGTAATATCGGTGCATATCTGCAATATAATTAGCTGATACGATAGTCAGTGGATATGCTAATATTGGCCGATATTATTGGCTGGCCGATTAATCGGTTCTAGTATACAGGGTCTTTAAAGACACTACAAATAAGCTACGCATCTACTTTACAAGACAATCCAATCCAAATCTTGATACACAGGCTAGGATAAAATAGGAGGATTCTATAAAATATAGAGGCATTCAACACCACTTGATTTTGATCCAATCAGATCTGATCTGGTGCAAAATGATAATTGAATCCAGAATAATTTTTAACTTAATGGATCAAAAAAAAGAAAAACAAAGTGTAATTTCAAAATAACATGTCCTTGTGTTTATAACTTGTAAAACAAGACTAGGGTTCCTGCATGCATCTTCCTATCACAGTGATGGAACGACCCTGCTGCACCTTTGAATGGCTCGTTTGACTTTAAAAAAAATCGCCTGGGCAGCTCAAATGGTGAGTCAAAATTAATATCAAACTTGCACCATCAAACATTTCACTTTGTTACTATTCCTTTTAGTTTTTTTAATCAATTTTTGATCCGGAATGGGTTCCTTTTTCCATAGTGAAGTTAAGGTCATAACCTTTGATCTACTAGAAGTTCCTTGTTTTATTTTCAAAATAAATGCAGGTTTATATTCAAACAAGAAAATTACAGTGGAGAGTACAAAAAAATCTAAATAAAATCTTAACAAAAACTGTTTCAAAAGTGATTAAAAATGCAATTAATCACATGCAATTAAACATTGAAAATGTTGTGATTAATCTTGATTTTAAAATTGTAATCGTTTGACAGCCCATAATAATATTAATTAAATAAACAGAAATTTAAGACACTAGTTCTTCTTGTTCATAGTCTGTAAATATTAATGGTGGAGAGTGAGTTCACCCATCTGTTTCTACAGGGAGCTTTGGAGTCCCATCGATGGCTGTCGCCATGCTGGAAATGTCTCAACCTAACTTTCAGCCCATCTAACGACAAACTGAGAGCTGGAGCAGAGGCTGGTTTTAAGCCTCCTGACAAACATCACACCCATCTGTCAATCAGGTCAGCTATGCGCCTTATTGTGAATAACACCTATCCTTTGTAAAATCAGAACTGACGAGTAATCAATAAATCCACCCCTCTGTACAGGCATGCAGATAGAGACATGAGCTAATGAGACCAATTTAGTTTTTTAAACCAGACTGTAAGCATATTTCTGCTGTAAAAATTGGCTTCTTTGAATGGGATGTATAAGTAACTTCTGGTGCTTCAGGAGTGCATATGTGCAAACGGCTGTTGATTAAATGATTTATTGATTGATTGAAAACAAGCATGCAGCAAAAACGTTGGTATGCCGAATCATAACTTTAGAATTGGGCCAACCAGTTTGTATCACATTATTACCGATCCAGGGCAATGAAGACCACTATAGTCGCATCTTAAAGAGATACTTCACCCATTGAAACATGAATCTGTATTGTCATATATGTAGTAGAAATGTGAAATACATTTTGAAGTTGGTGCCTTCTTGGCCGAGAAAAGGCAGAAAGTGTATTTTTGGCTCATGTGACTGAAAGACACCAAATCCCAGAATGCACAGCACCGCAGGCCACTCCCACTAAGGTCCTCTAGTTAAGAATCTGAAATACTTTATTAATCCCAGAAGGAAATTCGATCGTTATCGTTTCTCCAAAATATACAATATAGCAGTAGAATTATAGTAATAAAAACATTTACAGACATATTTACTTCAACACATAAGACCAATTTCTCAACTGATTCTGAGATTTCTTCTAGAATTGATCTTGGAAATTCCTGGCAGAAAACAGACTCTATGTCTGTGTCCATATACAAACAGTGAGAGCGCTGACACTACCAGTCTGCCCCAGCTCGAGCCGGCCCCGGCTCCTTGTCCTCATCGCGGCCGACAGGCAGGCCTTGATCTGTGATTGGTCTGTAGCTTCAGTGGTTGAAATATGAGGAACTAGCGTTGTAGTTTCACCCCGTTAACAACAACAGCTTCCAGTGACGCAAAATGACGATTTTGCGTCACTGGAAGCTCCTTTTCAGACTTAAAAATACAAAGATTTCCCATCTCAGGGGAAAATGAGGACGGGATGCACGACCAATCAAAAATACTCCCAGGTTTCTAATGATACAAAGCTTAATGCAAATGGGTGAAGTAGCCTTTTAATGTTGAATTCAGTAACTCATATTGAACGATGATTTTAAGATGAAGATTCAAGAAATATTTCAGGTGTTTTGTGCAAGTGTGAAAGCACTTGTAGAGGATTTTTAAAAAATGCAAAAAAAACAACTAAATATTAAATAATTAATTTAAAAGGCATGAACTGTGTCACTGCATTGCAAATGAGTCACAAAGCAACTGTTTGTAGAAAATAAGAAATATAAAGTAAGATGTCATAACTGGCCTATTTCTTTTCATTTAAGGTTTAGCTACCAGTATGCAGGTACTTCTTTACTCTTTGTTTGTTGTGAACTCATCTTTTTGTCTGCTTACAAACAGTATCATTGGGCAAACTTTCCATATTAAAAAAGAAAGACGAAATGACCAACTCACCTCTTGTGAGCGTGCACAAAATGCGCGCACCCAATGGGCTCCATCCCCTCTTCTTCAAACATCCGGTTCCTCAGTGTCATATGACCAGCTCTCTGCTGACACTTCTGTTCCTCTAGTTAGCACAGCACACCTTTCAACGTTAGCTTTCTCAGGTTTGCTGTCTCAATCCGACCATGGCAACATTGGTGGCAAACAGGGCGATGGATGTCAATGGAATGGCTGCAGCTGCAAGGACACACACCCAGGCTGTGACCAGAAATTACATCTCTCAACCCAGGCTGAGTATGTATCTTTAGCAGCTAGTGTAGTCAGCTGTAGTGTAGTGACGGGGTGCAAGCATATGAATCATACCTATTTCTTCCTAATAAAATGTATTGACAACATACCAGGCTTCTATAGTTAAACGTGTTGCCTTTACTAAGGACATTGGGGCTTTTATATTGTAAGTTTTCCGTCATTGATCAGGGGATGTAAAACCACATTTGGTTGCAGGTACTGTCAGTGATTTCTAGCTTCTTGTTTTAGATTTCATCCAATCAATTCAACATTTGGCTTGTCAATGCATTCGACATGTTTTTGCTGAGAATGAGTTTTCAGCCCACAGGTTGGAGAATACGTGTATTATCCCAGTATAACACCCTGTAGTGTTACAGCAGCACCCTGAAGCTAACTAGCCAAAGAGCTAAGTGAGGCGAAAAAAATGGAAGTCACGATTCTAAACGACCTTGCTGTTTTTACACGGGCAATGACACACTGAATGGATATCACGTTTAATAGGTGTTTGTTGGCCTTTGCATGCCTCTGTGCACATTAAATAATTCCCTGTTGTGTATTTATGTCGCGAAGCTAACTAGCCGAGCTACCATGCTAGTTGTAGCTAACGGAGGCTCGTCCTGTCTGTATGTCGTCGCTAACATGTCATCAGCTAACTGTTTATATGTATGTAACGCTTAAAGCCTGGTATTCGTGTACAACACTTTAAGCACGTTAATTGCATTTTATGACATGATTTAAGTGTCTCTGTTTTGATGTTTGAAACTGCTGAATGTCACGAGAGTAGTGGATTAGCTGCAGACGGTCAGCTGACCCGGATGTTCGAATGAATGACGCATCGTGAAAATTTTATTTTTACGTATGCTTTTGTGACGATTAATACATCTCAGGTGCGTTTTTACAGTCTAAATAGTGAGTGTAGTGTAGTTAATACCGATAGGCTACCGTGTAGTACTAGAACGATGTGTTTTATTCGACATTGTGTTAGCTTTAGCACGTCAAAGCACAGAGCAGTGACAGATGGGATGATCTCTCATGTGACTCGATCACATGAGTGGTGCAGTGATGGATGCAGATGGTTTGTCTAGTACAGCTGTAGGTCGTTTTTTTAAAATACTTGAGTTGCTTTAAATACATAATCTGAAAGAACATAATCATTAACATGAAATGTGATATGATTTAAATTGAAAAGTCTCTTAGGTATATCATACAAACATCATATCAATACTGGCAGTAAGATCATGGATTTATCAAAAGTTTTGTTTCTGGGGAAAGTCTTAGGGTTGGTTGTAAGACAATAATATTAATATAATATTAATATCATCCTTAACTGTTCTCAATATTAGAATATGTTTGGGACAATAAATTGACCAAAAAACTACAATTTAAAATGTAATAATAATGCAAATGTATTTGGTCAGCCAAACACTCCAAAACCTTTGTGTTACAATTCAATCAGACATAATCTCCAAATCCAGGCCAACAGATATTCCATTTGAATATAGGAAATGTGTTGATGTTGTTACATTATATAAGGTGTGTCAAATACATTTTAAAATTGGGGTTGCTAAAATAAACCTTGCAAATGTGTTGTTTTTTTTTTGCGACATAGCCACACTGTTGGATTTATTGATTTTTTTTTTATTGCTACAGATTACAGTTTAACATGTTTTCACACTCATAGGCGCGTGAAGAGACACTGGAATCACAAGACGCTACGTGATATTGGGTTCGCAAGAAACAAGATGAGGGAATTTTGCTCTATTTTTAAGAAAACTTTAATGACAACATAAGTACAATTGTTTTTAATTCACACAATGTAAAACACTACAGATTCATTATGAAAAAGTTTAACCATAGTGATCATCTTGTAATTAATGTTACTGCTTACATACTTTTCATTTTTAACAGCACTTCAAATTTCAGTAATAGAATATAACATCCTCAGTTTTCTTCACTCATTGCTACAATTACTATAATATTAAAACATAATTTAGAAAGTGCTTAAGTGCATCATTTCAGTAACAGTATTTGTTATCCCACATCAGGGAAATCAAACACTTCATAGAAATATTTCTTTCAAAACCAACTTTGCTGTAATCTACAGAAATCTTTTTTGTGATCTTTTTTTCTCCTTTCACAGTTTTGAACACATCACACACACACACACAGCGTTAATCTAGTGGACCTGTGTGTGCGTCTGCGTTGGCTGCACATGCGTGTGAGTCAGACAAATCAACCAGGGAGTGTTCTGTAACACCGGGCTCTGTAACAGTTTTTCTTCGCTAAGCTGCAGTGTACAACAGGCTGTAATGTAACTGCTGTTAAGTTTCTGATTGATGATATACGCACCCCCTAACTGATACCTGTGTATTAAACGGAGAAGAGAGGAGTCAGTGTTTCAATCAAAGTAACCATACACACTGAAATATCAGCGCTGTACAAGCCATCTGTGTAAAAGTCAGTGAAAGACTTAAGTAAAATAATATTGTAATAGACCGAATTGTCTTCCTATTTGAACAGCGGATTCAAACAGTTGACGTGTTCTGTTGCCACAAAAAGACTTAATAGGTGGAGGGAGCATCTCTTTCTGGCAACTTCACATTTCAACTGTCTCTGTCATGATGGCTGCTGCTTTGCGGCCATGTTCTGATAATGCAAGACAATTTTCACCTCAATGAGAACTATTGTGACGATTTACAAGATCCCATGGTACGAGATCTCGTCACACCCCTAGTATCTTGTAAATAAAAGGTGCTAATTAAGGTTCCTTTGTTATCCATCAGGCAAAGGCACATTTAATCAACCTTATCTACCGTTGTGACCACTGCGGTTAGTTGTGTTTAAGTGACAGCCTTATCTTTAATTCTTTCACCATGCTAATTGTTTTGTCGAAATAAGCAAATCAAGTTTCAACAACGGTGGTAGTGTTTGGCTGTTTGGCACTTTGGCTCTGTGCGCCTGATGAAGAGCCTCTACTGTGACTTTCATTATGCGGTTGAATATGGCCTGAGCAATGAATCCGGCAAGGTGATGCTTTTTCCTTTGTGGAAGTGTCAGGGAAGCAAGCATGGACTAAAAGCCTCTTAGCAACCTAGAAGGAAATGACTTAATGGAGCTCGAGCCATCTGAGAGCTAAGCATAGAGGATGCAACATGTGATAAAATCCTCGTCCTAAAAACATCTAACTATCCCTGCCTCTGAAATGTTCTTATTTTGTTAGAGTAGATTTTCCATTTTCTCTTATCAAATGCATTACTAAACAGCAGTGGTCAATCGTAATGGCGAGGCAGCGAGTAAAATTATTACTTCAAATAACTGTAAAGAAACTTCTGATGTGCACTTCTGCAGGTGCTACAATCTGTCTTCGATTTTTGTGGACCTGTAAGTTGAGATTTTCTTTGTATTTATTGTCTATTAGAGAGGCTTATACTTCTTCTATTCGTGAGAGACTTTTAAAAAGACCCAAGTTTACTAGAGTAGTTTTATTCACTTTAGTACCATAGAATTTACACAATACCTTAGACAGTTTTTAAGTAGATGACCTCCCTTCTTGGTTTGAAAAGTGAAGTCAATGGGGAAGGTGCTTTAGACCTGCAATCTTTTGTAATGTGCAAAATATGCTCATCCATTATAGTTTGATTTATTCATTCATGTATCATTCTCTTTTCAAGCATTTGTCATCTGTGTCAATAGAGAGAGCTAGAGACAAGAAGACACACACACACACACACACACACAGAGTCATAAGCACAAAATTAGGAAGAGACAGATATTAAGTTGGCCCCCAAGATTCCTATGTCTCAACTTATAGACTCTATGTGCAACGTAGGAAGTAACTTTTTTTTCAGTATTGCCTGTTCTCATCAAACAGTCTATAAGATCACGATGTTGAGATGGTTTGTCACCACCTTATTGACTTGACAGAGCTCTAAGATGGGCCGCTATTGAAAAGCCACTCCGAGACAAAGCAGGAAAATAAACAAATAAAAAAAGATTTCTCATCAGACCAAGTCTTTTCTTTAAAAAGGCCTTTGTCTCTGTCATGTCAAATGTGACAAAAGCTATTAGCCCACGAAATGGCTTGTCTTTGTTTTAGTGGTGCATTCTGTCATTTAGTGCTATGAAAAGACATGGAGCAAGGCACCATACTTCTTTGTGAAGATTTAATTAATGGTAATAATCTAGTCAAGATAAACAAATGTCTCATCTGTCATTATGAAAGTAATTTCTATAAAATCAATGTTATTTCTGTAACAGTTCTATAATCCACATTCTAATTAGGCTTAAGCAGCTAGCTTGTCAGTAGAAAAAATAGAAACTGGCGTAGGCGTTTGCCATTCTTCTCATGAAAGAACATTCAAATGTAGGCTAAGGATTTGACACCATTTCAGTCTGTTTCTTGAACAGACACTGATCAAAGGCATACTTGCTACATACTTTGCTGACCACTCATTCATTTCATACTATTCTTCTCCTAAAATATGGTGGGTCATTTGGAGAAGTAAATGCATATTGTCTAATATGAGAAACTCCCCATGACAATGTATCAGTCAAGTCATTTCCACTAAGGGTAGTGATGACTAAATATGTGCAGTCCTAATGTTAGGCTTTGAAAGAGGCATTAGAACATATTCATCTGTCTTGTTCTTCATCCGAGATTTGTTTTGTAATGTAATACAATATCAGGGTTGTTCCCAGCCACTTTTATTTCCTAGCTGGTCAAACAGAATTTCCATTTAACCAACAAAAAGATAAAAGACAAAGATAAAAAAAAAAAAATACTCAGAAAAAGGTAAAAAATTGAACACAATGTATTTGAAATTGTCCACGGGTTAACAATGTTATTTGATTTACAGCGCTAGCATCATCTGCATCGAAATCCACATGCCACGGCTTAATGTGATTACTTAGGCATTGCTCCTGTAGATATACAATTTAAACCTAACAAACAATGTAAAACTTGATCACAATTTTCAAGATCAAAATACTGCTGCTCAAAGCGCTGC